ATTGTTGTAAAGCTTGGTTGATTGCTCATTTGTGGTGAACAAAGGTTAAGCTTTGAAGCTCATTGAGGTAAGCCTTAGGATCTTGGGAGTTGATCCCTTAATTGTTCCACCAAGCCTTGAATGGGTAGTGGTTGTTGATAGTGTATGTAAATGCAATAAAGTAGTTTAATGCTTTATTATACGTATATGTATGCACTGAGTGTGGCATAGGATGGTGTTTCCCTATGTTTTATATGTTGCATGACGATGCGTAATTCATACTTGGTAGTTTAGCCGACCAGTAAGACTATTTGCATCTGAGTATCCTTAGGACAACATGAGAGCTCGAGGGATATCTCTTGGAGATGTTTGACACACTGCATGGATATGTATTTACTACATTATTTACGATTATTGCTATTATACTGTGAGTGAACTATGGGGTGGAGAAATGCTCCAAGGACCCCTAGTTTACTGAGATGTATTCGTATATCTCATCTCGTGTTATGGGGACCCCCTTTCAGGTACAAATGTTGCAGGAGCCTCTGGTGGCAAATGGCCATACTTGGATTAGATTGATGCATGGGCATATTGCATTTTTTTGGTTATGTATGTCATTTAGTAGTTTCTATGTATAGGATTTATATTTGAAAGTCATTTGATATATGTACATCATGCTTTATTTGGTGGACTTAGCCTATACTCACCTCCTTTGGTGTCTCTTGTTGTTGATGAGAGTCAAGGGTTTGATCATAGTGTTTTGTAGCTAAGTCTCATGGTTAAGTATTAAAGACATTTGGATGTTGTAATGTTGTACTTATTGTATATATGATAGAAGGACATAAGATGCCTATTTTGATAAATTTGTGTCTTAAAATTGTAAGAATTATGTCTTGTAGTAGTTATACAATGCCAATTAGGTGAAAGAAGACCTTTGGCTTGAGAATCAATGTAAAAATAAAGATGTCATGTCTTGTTGTTCATTTTTCCTATCCTATATGATAGGTTTGGACCCTTGTGTTTTAATGGAAGTTGTAGATCTTTTTCTTAGCTTTCCAATGAGACCAAGATTGCGTCAAACAGATAAGTATAACTCAAGTTATGAGCAAAATATCAAAGGATAGTAAAATCTCCAAAACAGTGGCACTTTTGGCGCCACCAAATAGTGGGTTGGCGCTGACGGCACCATAAGACATTAAAAAGTCAGTGTTCTGGCGCTATCAGCGCGGGTTTGGCGCTATCAGCGTGGGACCCTGCAAAATTCAGCACCATTTTCTTCAAAAATTTATAACTTGAGCTACAAGGCTTCTAATTGAGCGCGATTTGAACCCACACATAGATAAAAAAGAGATCTATAACATATTGGGAGATGAGTACCATAAAATTAGTATAAAATTCCTTAATTAAATAAAAAGTGGAGGTGTTTAGTGTTGAATAACAATAAAAATAAGTTTTTAAGCCTTGTTGGTCTAAGGGGACTACTTGGCACACTGGGGTAGCAACGTATGGTCTATATAAAATTACATTAAGTGTTCCACTCGTAGTTTAAGTTACGATTACAGTTTTGGAATTGTTTTAATTACATAATTAATTTTAAACAGAAACATTTATAAATAAAAAGGAAAATGTTTATCAGTACTTTAATTCAATTGTTGTGATTGTAACTGCGCTTAATGTCATACGTAATGTTAACAAACTGATTCTAGAACGGAGTGTTACAACATGCTTCGAAAGCTTTGATTACTTTTTTGTAATAAACAATGCTTGATCTAATTAAGTAAAACACTTTTTTTTTATAAGAATGAACAAAACTATTTTTTAGTTGTATTATTAAGGCATTTGTCTTAATGACATCTCCTTCTCTTAAAATACCAAAACGTCGGATATTACATGCTTTTCTTTAAAGGGGGCGTTTGGTACCCAGATTCTTTTTATTTTCCTTGGAAAGCTGGGTGTGGAGAATTTGAAGTCGAAGTTTGGTAGCAAAAAGCAAACTCTTTTCTGGCTAACACTTTTGTCCGTAATTCGAAGTTAACGTGTAAAAGATGGTACAGACTTCCTGCAAATTTCTCCATCGATAAGTTGGTATACTGTTTTGCCCGGGAAGTGAAAAAAAGTACCAAAATATTATGGACGAAAAAAACCCTGCTTTTAGATGTACTATCTGTAAACAAAAGGTAAAGTAGGGGTTATTTTCGTAAAATAACCTCACATTCCCACTAATATTTAACAATCAACCAAACACACACTTAATAATTTTAACCATAAATTCCCGGAAAAATTTGGTCATACCAAACACATTTTACTAACATTCCAGTAAAAATATATTTTCCACTAGATTTCGGCAATAATTATTTTCGGGATAAATAAAAATTTCTCTTCTACTAAACGCCTCCTAAGAAGAAACAAAATCCCAATGTAAATTTTTACCCAGAGGCCAGAACAATTTGAATTTTAAAGTCCCAAATAAATTTTCACCATTCTAGATGTCTTACAATACTTATATATCCTCAAGTCTCTTTGAAGTTATCTGTCAACATCAAATATGAATACTAGTGGCGGAACCAAAAAAAAAAAAGGAAGCTAGTGTCAAAAATCAGCCATCCATAAAAGAAACTAGTGTCAAAATCAGCAGTTATGAAACAAACAAACCATTTACAGTTATCGAAGATCAAAACTAACTTCTGATTTTGAAAATCAGCTAGTGCCTGTGCCAAGGCACTTGCTGGTTCCAATATGTCTACGCCACTGATGAATACGTGTCAGGTAGAGAAGAAGGAAAAAGGATGGGCATGCATTTGGTAATTTTTCTCTATTTTCTATTACACCATTGGGCTATTAATCGTCCAACAATGAAATACAGACTTAGAGCAAATATAATATTGTGCAAAAAGGGAAATAACAATTAACCAGCTTAATAAGTGTGACTATGTGGGCTTCTCTTGGATCTCTAGCCCAGAATATAATCCTGAAAATGAGTGCGCTTATGTATCTTTCTTTTTCCCAAGAGTCCAGTGCTATGATTCTCTATGTTAATTGTTAAGCATCTTCCTCCTGTAAATATCTTAATCGTTTTTCTCTTTTTTGTGCCGTTTCGTTTCGTTTTGTTTTTCTTCTCAAGTTTCATATGACGAGGTTATGTTGTCTTCCAGTTCATTTATTTTTGCATACATTATTACTTTTCCGCTTATTCCATTGATGCTCTACTTAATTCTTCAATACGGTCATGATCTAACAAGTATTGTGAAAAAATTATTGCCAAGCTTCATCTGATGCTGAGATTTTTAAAATATAGATGATAAAAAGTAAGCGATAATATATAATTTTAATTGTATGTATTTTTTTTAATTTTTTTTACAATTTTACTTAATAAATTGTCACATTTTTTAATTAACTCCACACTTCATATAATTGTTAAAATAGTCAAATTTACTAAGCAACAATTCAACACATCATTGATGCAAGTGTAAAAAATTCCAATATTCACAATACATTAAAATTAGATTCATAATACAAACATCTAAATTCACATAAGACTCTGGTTGAAAAAATAAAAAATGAATATCAATAAATAAAAAGAAAACGATTTATCGAATTAAAAAATATAAAAAATATTGAATATATATAATTCTATAAATAATAAAAGAGAAAAATATATGTCTTTTTAAAGGATGATTATTTTAGTTAAAAGAGAAAATTTCAAATCCCCCCTTATGATATTACTTTGAAATCACTTACACCCCGAGTTTTTTTTAATCACTTAATTCCTTGTGATTTTTTTCATCCACATCCCTTCTTAACAATGTTAGAAAATTAACTAAGTATATCTATTATATCATTTTTAGAAGAAAAAAATAAAGTGATAACAAGAAGGCTTTACTGTTTCTAAAGTGAACGTAGATAAGTTATCTACATTTGCTGCTAAAAGTCGTTTTGAGTTGAAAAATTAAAAAATTATAATAAAAGACTATTATAACCCAGAAATAAAATATAATTACAAAAATACTTTGATTTCCGCCTCAAAACGACATCGTTTTGGGCTTAATGTAGATAAGTTATCTACATTGACTGTAGAAAAAGCGAACCCTAAAAAGAAAAGAAAAATATGACCAAATATTATAAAAACTTAGAACATTTAAAAAAATACCAAACATATCTAAATAAAATAAATAAATAGATCAAGAAAAAATAGAAGAAAATAAAAGCAAATATATTAGAAATTTATAATCGTGATTTCTTTTTGTTCTATTTTTTTATTTTATTTTTTATCTTAATTTTTCTTCTATTTTTTTGTCTTCAATTTTTTTTTCATTCAGATTATTTTTTTAATTTTAGTCTTTTCTATCACTGTTGTGATTTTTAATATATTTAATTTGATCTTATTTTATTTTTTATTTAGACACATAACATATTTGATTTTTTTTGCTACCTTTTTTATTTTAGTCTTTTATTAGTAGTTATAAGTTTTCATAATATTTATTCTTATTTTCTTTTTATCATTGTATTTTCTTTCCTAATAAGGGTAAAATATGTATTATTTAATTAATTTTCTAACAGCAGCAAAGAAGAGTGTGGATAAAAAAATCACATGGGGTTAAAGTGATTAAAAAAAGCACAAGAATGTAAATAATTCAAAGCAATAACACATAAGGGTTTTTGAATATTTTCTTAGTTAAAATTAGTATTTTTTATTTAAAATTTTAATTAAAAAAAATACCTATTTTTTTCTCCCATAATTTTTATTGTATATATTTTTCTATCAAGGGAATATAATTTTATACTCTTTAAAAAAGCACACGCAACAAATGCATAATAAAATACGTATTGTTAGTTAATGTATCGTTTTTTGAATGGAGAATTTTCTTGCATTATTAATGTGATGTGAATGCTGTGTGGTTTGGTGAGATCATGGAATGCAGCATGCTCCACGTCTTCTCATCTTCCCATCTCAGACTCTCAGGTCCCTCTGGCTATGGCCTCTGTGTTTGGTGGCTGAGAGAGACTTTTAAAGTTGAAACATTCAGCACTATCCATCATTAAAATAGCGTTAAGCAAAGCTTAAATATACATCAAAGGAAAATAAGATAATAGACATAGCTAACACCAACAACAATGCAAATGATTAAGAGCTCCGAAAGCACTCTCATCTTCCCTTCTCGCCCTCCCTTCCTCCATGATCATGCTCTCCCTCTCTCTCACCTTGACACTGATCGCAACCTCCACCTCACCTTCCGCTACCTTAGAGCTTACGTCGCCACCGCCACAACCTCCCACGACCCCTTCCTTGTCATCTCTTCTTCCCTATCCGAAGCTCTCGTTCATTACTACCCACTTGCCGGCACGCTTCGCCGCCGCAAAAGCGAAGATCGCCGCCTCGAAATCTGGTGCGAAGCCGGCCAAGGCGTCCCTCTCGTCCGTGCCACCGTGGATTTCACACTTGATTCGGTGAATTATCTCGACGACCCGGCTTCGCATTTCGTCGAACAGTTGGTGCCCGACCCGGAACCCGAAGAGGGGATGGAGCACCCGTGCATGCTTCAAGTGACGGTGTTCAAGTGTGGCGGGTTCACACTTGGGGCGGCGATGCACCACTCGCTGTGCGACGGGATGGGCGGGACTCTGTTCTTTAATGCGGTGGCTGAGTTAGCTCGCGGGGCGACCCGGATAACGGTGGAGCCCGTTTGGAACCGTGAGAGGTTGTTGGGTCCGAGGGACCCGCCCCGAGTGGATTCGGGTTTGATAAGGGAGTTTCTGCGTTTGGAGAAAGGGTTTTTACCGTACGAGCAAGACATTGGTGGTGTTGTAAGAGAATGCTTTCATGTGAGGGATGAATGCTTGGACAAGTTCAAGAGGTCCTTGTTTGACCAATCTGGCTTCAACTTCACCACTTTTGAAGCTCTTGGTGCTTACATTTGGAGGTCCAAGTAAGTCAACTTCTACACTATTTATAGTTAGGGTTAGTTTTTTCTGCTATTGGTTATCTGCATTTTAAAATATGTTGTTCTAAGATGGAAATTAAGGTATTTTGTAATTTTAATTTATTTCAGGATTATAATAATCTTTGTAATTATAATTTTTTAATATTTCAACATCAAAACTACGTCGTTTTAGGAATAATTGCAGATAATTTTATGTTAAATTTAATACGCTAATTAGTAGTTACCTATGTCTTGCAAAGGTACTTTAAGAAATTTTAATCATATTATATTTCAACATCTTGTTAATATTTTATAAATGTATAAGTTCAGGTGGTTTTTAGCATTACCTATTTATGTGGAGTATTGCGTATCAGTATTAGTATTTTATATTTTCGTGACGATATGATCATTGTCCTAGATGACTTATATTGTTTCTGACCATTCTAATTGCTAAAACAGGGTCAGGGCCTCGGGAGTCCAGGCTCATGAGAAGGTTAAGTTTGCATACTCAATTAATATACGGAGACTAGTAAAGCCATCACTACCTGCTGGTTACTGGGGTAATGGTTGTGTTCCAATGTATGTGCAGCTGAGTGCCAAAGATTTGATAGAGGAACCCATTTGGGAAACAGCAGAACTAATAAAAAAGAGTAAAAGTAATGTAACTGATGAGTATGTTCGCTCCTTCATAGATTATCAGATGCTGCATTTTGCTGATGGTATCACAGCAGGAAAAGGGGTGAGTGGGTTCACGGATTGGAGACACTTAGGCCATTCAACTGTGGACTTTGGGTGGGGAGGCCCTGTTACTGTTTTGCCACTTGGAAGGAACTTACTTGGGAGTGTTGAGCCTTGCTTCTTTTTGCCTTATTCAACAGCCATTGCGGGGAAGAAGGAGGGGTTCAAGGTTTTGGTGACTTTGACAGAGGCTGCTTTGCCTGCTTTCAGAGAAGACATGCAGGTGTTTGCCAGTAGCCAAGATCAGTGGCCGAGCCATCTATAGATGGTTTGGGCCATTGATTTGATGCAAACAATTGGAATTGGAGATGATAGATTTTGACAACAATAAATACGTATGAGGCAGCTTAAGTGTGATGGCCAAAATAAGGTCTTTCCTAGATATGTAAACGTAAGAGCAAAGCTCTAAATAAGGCTCACTGCTTAGTGCTTATACAGTTGTTTTATTCTTTCTTCGTTTTAGCTTAAAATGTATGTTTCCCTTTATTTTTCAAAGTATACAACCAAAATAAAAAGTAGATAGTTTCTTCTTTCTTACTTTAAACTGGAATCCAGGGTTGTTCACCAAGTATCATCTTTATGAGTCCTAATCTATGGATTGATTAATATGTGTGAGACGGTGGTTTTTTGTTTACGGATTCTAATGCTGTGAAATGTGAAATTTAAAAAAAGGAGGAGACCGAAAGGATACACAAGAATCAGAATTCACAACGGAATACATTAAACTAGAAATTTACAATTGTTGCAGCAGATGGAGGAAAGCCGTTTGCCTGTAAACAAGAAACGGAAGATGGAGAACCCCAAGACCGAAGCTGAGGAGCAAGGTGTGGGCAAAGGAGAAGCTCTACTTTCTGTTGATGCAGTTGAACTTGACAGAGAGAAGAACGAAGTGGGAAAATTTGATGATGCTAACACTAGGAAAAAAAAAAAAAAAAAAAAATTGATACTGAGAAGCTCTACATTCTATGAGGTCTTTGAACAGATGAAAAAGGCCGGTAGGTTAAATTCTGTTCCCAATGAAATCAGTGAAGCTAGGATGCAAGCTTAAATGGCATTATGGAGGCCTTACCCACCACCTCCCTGAGAACTTGAGATCTCAAATCAGTCCTCAATTTTGTGGGGGAGGGGAAGGCATGGAGTTGCTGGTAGATGTTATGCTAGGTGTTTTGTGATGTTTATGGTAACTGTGGCTGAGTGTTTATGTTTTTTTATTCCTTCTTTACTCACAGTCCTTCCAAGATCATTCTTATACATCCGGCTCCTAACTTGGTTGGACATTGGAACTAAAATGCCACCCTCAACTGTACACTCTCATATAACCATTAAACAATTTATAGGCCAAAATTGAAGATGTCGTAAATGCACAAGTTAGAGTCAGACCCCCAGTAGAGTTGCTTGACTAGCGGGCTATTCTAGGTGGATGGATTGCTTGGTCGCCCTGCTAGCTATCAACCATTTTATTTCCTTTATATTTTAAAACATTATGTATTGACCTAATGCTGCTTAAGGCTTAAAGCCATTAGTTAATAAATAGGACCATTTGAATGGTGTGCCTTGCCCAGTTTCTTCTTTGCATCAAAGTTCTAATTAGCCAGAAGGTACCAAATACCAATGATGCTTACTGCTTAGTACTGCAGTTGTTTTATCCTTTCTTCGTTTTAGCTTAAATTCTCTTTGCTCTCTGTTTCAATTTATCGTATCTTATTTTTGTTGCTTACCGTGCAAATATTTCTTAAATATTTCCCTTCTTTCTAGCTTTAAAGTGGAACTCAGGTTGTGGAACAAATATTATGGTATTCTGTCCGAATCGAAGTGGGAAATTTAACAGAGAGAAGAACAAAGTGGGAAAAATTAATGTTGACAAGAGGGATAAGAAAAGTGACAGTGAGATGGGTGCGAGACTCACATTCTCTGAACAGATGAAAGCTTTTTCAGATATGGGTATTACTCTCAATGAGAATGCCTGTAGTTCGAATTGTGTTTTCTATGAGTTCAGTGAATCTCGGATTCTAGCCTTAGATGGCATTATGGAAGCCTTAACAGGTGACATTAACATGATTGGGGTGTGTGGACAAACAAGACGCTACTGAAAAGGCCACTATTTTAGAGAAAGTTTCAAGAAGAGCTAAAAGAGATAGCTTGTTTGATGCTATCATCATGGCAAGTGTAATACATAAACCTGATATTGAAAGAATTCAAGAGGAAATTGCTGAGGCATTGGGCTTTGAATTCGAAGAAAAGGGTCGATCTAAAAGAGCTCAAAGGCTGCGTCACAGGATAATAAAGGAGAAGAGAATTCTTGTGATACTGCGTGACCTCTGTAAGAGCCTTGATTTGAACAAAGTTGGAATACCTGTTGGGAAAGATCACACAGGCTGTCAAGGTTTTGCTGACATCTAATAGTGAGGGTGTACTATTCAACGACATGTCTGTCTGCTCAACAAATTTTCAATGTCTAATTCTTGCCTTCTGAGAAAGCTTGGAATTTGGATGTCATCGCTTATGGTGATTTTTTAGAAATTGGAAAATGAAAGGTTGTAGTGTCCTTTTTGTAAATTAATTTTAGCTCAATTTCTAATAAGCCAAAAAAAACTTTATTTTCTGTTCATACGATGAATTTTAGTTAAAAAAAAAATGTTTACCTAGCATACACAATATATTTCTCAATTTCTCATGCATTGAAAATGAAGGAAATTGGAAATGGTGGTAATGAATTCTGTTAGTACTGAAATAAAAAAAATGATTTTTTAAAGAAACGTTAGCCCTATGTTGCACCGACACGGGACACGGGATACGACACGATACTCCGACACGTTAATTCTAAAAAATATTAAATTTCGACACGTTAGGACACGTTTTGATATTATATAATATTTTTAACTTATGTAGTGTATATTATATTTAGTATTCAATAATTTAACAAAAAAATAAAGTTAAACTTATAATATCCATCAATTTTGCAAAGAAACATAAGATATCACAAACATTTATATTAAACTCAATAAAATCATAATCGTAATCTAACGAATCTAATAGTTAAAACTCAAAATGCAACGCAATGTAACCTTTGAACCTTTTTTGAGTCTTTGCAACAAATATTGAAGTGTCAGGAAGTGTCGGAATATCGGTGAGTGTCGAGAAGTGTCGGACCCGACACGTCAAATTTTTTGAAGTGTGAGTACTTCGTAGGGTTAGCCAACGTAGTTTCCTTAAAGAAAGGTTAGTGTCAAACTTTCTTTTTGATTATAACTATATAAGTCTCTCTCTTTTTTTGGTAAAAAAGTTTGCAACTCTTTCACTTCTAGATGTAAGTAACCCCTTGCATAAAGTTATGTTTTCTTGTGGTTAAACGAGAATTAATATACTAAAATATTTATATAAGCCGAATATGCAAAGATATTTCGCAGTTTCTTTAAAAAAAAATGTAATTTTACAAAGTTTGAGGTATTTATTAACTAAATTCTATTTTAAATTATACAAAAATAAAACAAAGAGAGAGAAAGAGCCAATGAAATCTATCTATCTTCTTATCCGGAGCCAGGAAGGCCAATAGGAAGCATGCCAGCTGCTGTGAACTGTGAATAAAGAAACAAAATGCTGCATAGCATACACTACATCTCTTCTCCGATAATGGCATCCACTCTGGGATCTTCTTCAATTGCCGTTCTTCCTTCACGTTACCTCTATTCCCCTTCATCCAAACCTTCCATTCACACTCTTTCTCTAACCTCAGGTACATGTTTTGCAAAAGTTTATTCCTTTACCTTTGTTCTGTTTTCTTTCTCTCTTGTTTTGGGAAGGTATGCGGCAAGACCCATTTCATATCTGTTATTTTTTCTGTGCTAATGTCATGGAATTTATTTTCCTTGGGGAGTTTGTAATTGGAAACTGATGGTGGGTCCTTGTGGGCAATATGTGGTTGTTAAGAGTCTATGTGACTATGTTGAGTGGTTGTGGCTATGCAGGGCAGAGCTGTGGGAGGAAGTTTTATGGTGGAATTGGAATTCATGGAATAAAGGGAAGGTCTCACTTCTCAGTTGCCAGTGTTGCCACTGAAGTAAACTCTGTAGAACAGGTAGGTAAGGGATATTCGATTTTTGAGGTCAGATTTTCTTTCAGTGTCTCTTCCTGCGTTTTGGCTTGCATTGGGTGGAAACTATGGGTACACTCCAGATATTTGTTAGAAAGAATTCCGTTGTGTTTATTGAGCCATTGAGCATTCGCAATGAATTTTTTGTATATTGTAGGCTAAGACACAATTTTAAGATTATATTGTGATATTTCATTTTCTGTCTAAGAGTAGATTGTTTTTAGAGTAAATATCATTTTTGGTCCCTAGCAAATTTCATGATGCCCGCTTTAATTCCTAGCAAATAAAAAGGCTATTCGTGGTCCCTAAGAAATTCAAAATGGACCCATTTAGTTGAAATCGTGGTCTCTCACAAATTCAAAAAAGACCTATATTAGTCCCTCAAAAAGACTAAAATGGGTCCATTTTGAATTTCTTAGGGACCAAGAATAGCCTTTTTATTGGTTAGGGACTAAAGTGGGTATCGTGAAATTTGCTGAGTACTGGAAAAGGTATTTACTTTTGTTTTTATTGAAGTTACACGTTTAGAGTGGTTGATAGGAGGAAAATAGCAAGGTGAAAATTGGAGTAATGAAAATGAGTCCATATGTGAACATATATTGTGTGACTTTGTGTCACACAATTATTTCTTTCATGCATTTTTAACCTTTAAAGTTTAGTTCCAGATCTCTTAGAAATAAAGGATTTGGTCCTTTGCATTAGAACTCTTTTTTGTGTGTTTGATAACATGCCAATTCTGTAAACTTTTCATATCCAGGCTCAGAATATTGCTTCTAAAGGAAGCCAGAGGCCAGTATACCCTTTTCCTGCTATAGTTGGACAGGATGAGATGAAGCTTTGCCTTCTCCTTAATGTTATTGATCCTAAGATTGGAGGTGTAATGATCATGGGGGATAGGGGAACAGGGAAATCTACAACAGTTAGGTCATTGGTTGATTTACTTCCTGAAATCAAGGTTGTTGCTGGTGACCCATATAACTCAGACCCGGAAGATCCAGAATACATGGGTGTTGAAGTGAGAGAGCGTGTGGTAAAAGGGGAGCAACTTGAGGTTGTCTTGAGCAAAATTAACATGGTTGATTTGCCATTGGGAGCTACAGAAGATAGAGTATGTGGGACAATTGACATTGAAAAAGCTCTGACTGAGGGTGTCAAGGCATTTGAGCCTGGGCTGCTGGCTAAAGCTAATAGGGGAATCCTCTATGTTGATGAAGTTAATCTTTTGGATGATCACTTGGTAGATGTCTTGTTGGATTCTGCTGCATCAGGTTGGAACACAGTGGAAAGAGAGGGTATCTCTATCTCACATCCTGCTCGGTTTATCCTAATTGGCTCAGGCAACCCTGAAGAAGGGGAGCTCAGGCCACAGCTGCTGGATAGGTTTGGAATGCATGCTCAAGTGGGGACTGTTAGAGATGCTGAGCTCAGAGTGAAGATTGTGGAGGAGAGAGCTCGGTTTGACCAAAACCCGAAGGAATTCCGAGATTCTTACAAAGGTGAGCAGGAGAAGCTCCAGGAACAAATTTCCTCAGCAAGGAGTTGTCTTTCTTCTGTTCAAATTGATCAAGATCTCAAGGTGAAAATCTCCAAGGTTTGTTCAGAGTTGAATGTGGATGGATTAAGAGGAGACATTGTAACAAACAGAGCTGCGAAAGCTCTGGCTGCTCTTAAGGGAAGAGACAAAGTAAGTGCAGAGGATATTGCTACTGTCATCCCAAACTGCTTGAGACACCGTCTTCGAAAGGATCCCTTGGAATCAATAGACTCAGGTTTACTTGTCACTGAGAAATTTTATGAGGTATTCAGCTGAGGGTGAATGATATAGCACGGTTTGTCTGCTGTGGTATTTGCTGAGCGTATTACTACTTCGTTATTTACAGTTTAACCTTTGGGGATTTTATTGTCCTTAAAACATTAGTAAGATTCATAAATTCCTTTTACACATGGGAAATTCCAAGCCTTTTAGGTGCAAGAGTCTTTCTCTATTTTCTTCTGTATTTGCAGCCTACTAGAGGTACTTCTGGTAAGTTTATGTGCCGTACGGATGAGGATTTATTTCTCTTAACTTTTTAAATTGCCAAAAAATGCAGAGCAGCTTCAAGTCGAAAATTATGATACAAACTTAAAAGGTATAAATAAAAGAAAAAGTGTGTGTCCTTTAGTACATTTATCCCATAAATAAAACGACTATTTGGAACTATTCCGTAGTATTATCATGTCACTTTCAGTAATTCCTCCCCATATCTTAGGCCTCCTCTCTAGAAACGCTGGCGGCCGCTGAAGTAAAAGGGTAGCTGCCCTAATTAAGATTGCAGCAGTTAAAGCCCATATCACATACATCTTATTCTCAAACTCATAATCAAAATAATGTACAAGATGCTTTTCTCCCATCCATTCTTTTTCCTCAGTTCTCCTATTATCATTCTGCATTTAAACCATGATGTCAGAAATAAGTTCATTAGCATTTGTTCATGTAAAGTATACAGAACATTCCCACAAAAAAAAAAAGGAGTACAAAATTATAGGTGAGAACTGGAACTGGAGTATAAACCTTGAGGAACATCTCCAATGGAACATCAAATATTGCTTCAACTTCAGCTGAATTTAAAACTGGTGAAAATGCATCCTTGTTGGACAGGATTCCAACCACGGGTATTACTGTAACGCTGTACTGCACTTCAAAACAACTTTGTAAGGTTAATGAGCCAAACATGTTAAACATGAAGCACTGCCACAAGGGATCTGAGAGACAGATCTATGCAGTTTGATGATAATTCTCGGAATTTCCAGTGCATGTCAGAATACAACTAGTGGAGCAAACTAATATAATGGATGATTTCTAATTTGTGAATGGTTCAGTAGTGGTATATGGTAGGAAGAAGGAATTATTAAAGGTATGAAATAATTGTTTGGCAATGCTGCTAGGGCATATTTAGAGAAGAATCCCACCCTTGTACCTTGAGCAAAAATCTTGGGCTAAGCGGTTAATTGAAATATTTACTAATAAAAAAAATTATATGCCTTTTAGACTCTCAACGAGGAAACCTTTACAGTAGTAATTCGGAGGAATTGGTAACCTAAATCGAAGAAAATGAAGTTTAATGTATGAAGATTCTTTTTGGAACAGGAATATTAAATTTAACTACATTATATTTGACAGGCACTACCTATGTGGCAAGTCAAGTGGTAGTTTAGTGCTACAGCATAAAGATTGCATGGCAGCAATTTGGAATAGATTGGTGATCTTCTAAACTTGAATGAAAGCTGAGAACTTAGATGCCAAACAACGGAGATACTGCCAGGACAACTCCAATATTAATCATACACTATATCCTAAGAACTTAAATGTCCCCTTGCTACAAGTTCAGCAGGGTTCTGGCTCATGCAAATGGTGTTTCAAAATTGAATGGCAAAAAAAAACAAAAATGAGTGCAGGAAAACCTCCCCCTAAAGCCTATGACAGAAGCAACAGTAGGTGATGATCAAATGAATATTTCCTAACAAAAAGAAGTTGCATGAGAAACTAGCTCAATAGTACAAATCAAATGGTTTCACTAAAGCAATCTGGTGAGTGACATGAAATTGATACAAGAAGTAATCTAAGATGAAGTTAATTTTTTCACTTGTTAATTAATTATTAATTCACAATAAATTATAACCGTTATATCGATAGAAATCAACTGCTAGATTAGTATTTGATGTTATAACTTTTTAGTTTAGCACTGATCACCGATGTTAAACAATCTAATTCCATATATATATATATATATATATATATATATATATATAAAGAGAGGTAGGATCCTTTAACACCAGAATCAAATTTAAAATTTGACACCTCATCTTATAGTCTTAGATCAAAAAAGATCAATGGTGTCACATGCTTACAAATCAGAGTCGTTAATCTTTTTTGATCTAACAACTATCACATGAGATGTCAAAGTATCATACCTCATATATATATATATATATATGCAAAATTATTTCCACAGGGACTGCACATACAGCAAGCCAAGGATATGGGGTTACGTATCCTGATTTTTTTTTTTTTTTTTTTAAGATAAGCAGTGAGACCACTTTTCTGTGTGGGCTACAGATATCAGCTCTCTATGCGCAATAACTGTAGAAAAAGTGTCCCAGTATATATATATATATATATCATACACAGACAATATTAAATTGAAGTCCAGAGACTGAGCTTATATAGATAATATACCTTAGTGCGGAAGGGTTCAAGAAGAGTAATAACAGAAACAAGAGAAGGGTCCAAACCAATCTCCTCCTTAGCCTCCCTCAACGCCGTTTCTATATCGTCAGCATCGCCTTCATCCCTCTTACCACCAGGCAAAGCAACCTCACCTGCAACCAGAAAAAACCCATTTGAGTTATTGTGAAAAAGACCCAAACTTTACGAGTTTCAGAACCGGAAACAGTGACCCAGAAAAGCACTAGAGTATGGGGGAGGTTGAAATGGAAATGGGTCTGACCGGAGTGGGTTGAGAGAGAAGAAGCTCGCTGGGTGAGAATCACTCGCAGATTCCCATCGGCGCCTTCGAAGACACAGATCAGAACTGCAGCTCTCTTTGAACTGAATTGGATTTGGTTGTGCGTGGAATTGGAATTGTTGGGTATCGAATTCGAAGAGCGAAAATGATCAACCAAAGCTTGTAATCTCTGTGAACCTCGTACCTCGGGTCTATTTGAACCCATTCCCTTCTTCAATTACTCTCTCCTTTTTCTTCCTTTGCGTTGTTGATTTGTCGCCGGATGCTAATTTTTCTGCTTAAGTGTTAAAATAAAGTTTGAATTGAAATGGAATAAATTAAGAATATAATGATATTAATTATTGTTATAATTTTAATTTTTTTAAAATAGGATAATTTTATGTTTTATTATTTGATACCTTTATTTTTGTCTTAATTTGGTGGATATAAAATAAATAAAATGAGATTAATTTATTGTTTAAATTTATTTTTATAAATTTATTTCTTCATAGATTACTGATATGTTAAAAAAATTTTGTGTGGAAACAGTATGTTAGTTTTATTATATCTTATTTCGTTCCACTCTATTTCATTTCATTGCTTTACATTTTATTTTATTTATTATTAAATATTTAAATATTGCTCTCTAAAGTCTAAACTAAACCTCTGATCCACCCAAACTTCTCCAGTTATGTTAAAAACTTAAAACAAAATTCAAATGTTTATAAACGCTAATAATTAAATCATTTCTTTTTTGGGTTTTCTTAAGTTATTTTTGGACTAATTTTTTCGAGTCGTAGAAATTATTTGATGAATTCTATCTTTTCCAACAAAGTATTTTTCATTCACACGGAAATCGAATCCCTGTCAATATGAGATCTAGTCATCTACCAATTATGTCGGGTTTTATTGGTATTAAATCATGGAAAATAAAGTGTTAGTGTAATAAGGAAAACCCTTTTTTTTCAATTTTATTTTTTTACTTTTAATACATTAAAACCTTATAGTAAACAAGAGGTCTTATTCCTACTAGTTGTTTCGTTACAATAATTTTAGTATATAAAAATTGATTTAACTTTTCTTTTTTCCCCTTTCGTTAGCCTTATGCCCCGTTTACAATATAGCACAATTTCATGGCTCATGCCAAGGCAAAAACTTTTGAAGAAATATTCAAGCATTAATATTTGCAATATAATCAGACAATTAATAAAAGTTCAGTAAGTGTGGCATGGTAAATGCCACATGGTTCCTTTCTTACATCACATAAATTCAACAAATTAGCAAGCCAAATATCTAGATTTGGTAACCTTAATCTCCTATTCATATGAGTGGAGTACCCAACCAAAACAAATGCTAAGATCAAATCACATTCTACGTCAGTCTTACAAGAATTTCTAAATTGAAAGAGGACAATCTGACCTAGAGAACAGAGATAAAACTAGTCAGCAAATGTTTGTGGGGGACTCTTGATAGTTGATACACCTAAAGTAATTCAGTGTCCTCAACTTCTTGATCACACTCTGTAAGTAGGAATATGAATCCAGGTGCTGGGATGCTCTTTCCTTTTTTCAGTACATGTAAATACCTACCTTGAATTCTTGAAATCTATAGTTGTGATTAATATTATTGTAGGATGAACAAATATTAAGGACTATAATACGTTAAATATTGTATTCAATGCGTTACAATGTCCCTTGGTTAATGAATCACACTTGAATCCACAGAAATCGAGAAGGACACACTTGCATATCATTTCTTTCGAAATGATATTGTTAAACAAAATGAAAAGCTGATGCATTCATGCCAGATTTTGTCTAGCATGGAGCAAGTTCAATCGATCATCTTCCTACAACCCACATTGTCTAATGGCCACTTACTCCTTGTAATATGCAATCCCCTTGAGATGAAATTGTAATACAAGGAATGAAAAAGTATTTAGTTCAACAAATTATAATGAGTATTTTGGAACTTTGACCAAATTGCCCTTACTAATCTAACCTAATTCAATCCCGCTTGTAAGCATAAGCGATTTCCACTAAGTCAAAAATTATAGTTGCCAGTGAAGATATAACTTCATAGTTGCCACTAAGTCAAGCACTTATCACTATAGCAAAAGTTATAACTATTAGTCATCATATTATTTTATTTCTTTATTCATTTGGCACTGTAGAGAATGCTAAGCGATGGGCCGTGGACCAAACTATCAAACCCTGGACGGTATGTCCTGTAAGGGCACAGAAGAAATTGCCGGGCCCCATAATTCCAACATCGTTGACCGCACTAGCAAAATAAGGGTGACAGCATTCAATATGCAATGTGGCAAGATTAACAAAGTGGGGCTGAAAGTGGACTGGATTGACCGAATCTTATCCAGACAAAACCAAATCTATGATAAAAAAATTTAATTTGACATGACCCGATAGCATAGTACGAGTTTAATTATTAGTCTGACCTAACCTATTTATAAAAAAACAAATTACATGCCCTAGCCCGTTAGCCTGACAAAGATTCTTATACATACCTCTTCTGGTTGATCTATGTCATACTCTATTCTTGTAAGATGATACACACTAGCTAACAGTCCTCCCGGTGATACATGATAGGCACATTGAGAACGTAGATAATTGTAACCATATACATATAAAATGACAGCAATGGAATGCCAATCTTCGGGCTTTATTTGTAAGGTTTCTATTCCACGGTAATCGAAACCCAAAGATCTATGAACTAGTCCATGTTTGACTAGCCAAGCAAACAAACTTTCAAGCAAAAAATCATGAATCAACTTCACAAAAAACTCAAATTGTTAAAATAAAAACCATAATTTCAACGTCCAAACAGAATCATAAATCACAACAACTACTTATCACAATCTGCATTTAAGTCACTCTCAAAAGAAAAATGCTCAAACTAAATAACCTATATTTCACCAATGTATACTATGTAAATTAAAATAACTACATGAATCCAACAAACACATCATGATGCTTGCAATAGCCAAAAACTTATTATCATGTTCTTTCTCCTGCAAATACAATTTCAATGTTATGTAAGTTGGCAAACAATTTGTAAATGTAGAAAATAAAAAATAAGATTAAATAATAGAAAGAAAAAAAACAAGATTAAGAAACAAAAAATCTTGGAGGAGGTTATACTTACTAGTTTTTTTTCTTATTATCAAATCTTAACTGTTGATTTTCGTAAATCTAACAGTTATAATTGATTGGAAATTAATAATTAATTAATAAATGTGACCCAATAAATTATAATAGTTAGATTTGCGAAAATCAACTGTTAAGATTTGTTAGTAAAAAATAGTAAGTATAATTTCTCCCAAAAATATTTTAATATATTCATATACACAATCTAACATACTGAGATGTTGGTTCCTCTTACATATGAAATAAAGTCATATTTCTATTAAAATATAATCGGATATAATTAAATTATAAAAGAATTTTAGTTGATAAAATTTAATTTTTTTCAAGTCATACTTATTTTATTCTATTTAAAATAAATAGTATAATATAGACCAGCCTGTAGGCTTATAGACTAGGTCTTGTAAAAGTGAATCTACGGCTTATTTATTAAACAAGCTTTTTTCAAGGCTTGAGTTCAGCCTATTTTATGAAATATATTAGGTGAGGTTTGATCTAACATAAGCCGGGCTGTAAACTCCCATGGGACGGCCCAATCTTGTTTCACCCTGACAGAATCTTAGTTCTCCATGAGTCCATTCCACATTCTCCTCTCTTTATCACACTTTTATCCTTGTAAATGTTAATTAGTATCTAAAAGTTAAAATCGTAAATGACGCAACTTACTAGTTTTTTTCTAAGTTGGTATTAAATTCGTTAATCAAATAATAATTAACACTGAAATAGTTCTTATTTATCTAACATAATCATTTCAAGATTTTTTTTCAGTTTTAAAGACGTTAAATTTATTGTTAATAATGACAATTTATGATTGATTTTGTTTTTCTTTCAATTTTTGTATGAAGAATTTAAATATTTTATATTATTTAAGTTGATGATTGATACGATACATAATACATAATTGCTTGATTACTAGTATTATTCGTAAAATATTATTATTCTTGTGTAATTATTCTGATTTTATTTTATTTTTTGTGATTAATCAATATATCTTGCTATTATTTTATTTTTAAAAATATGAGAAATTTGGAAAATTTTATGATTTTAATAGAAGAAAATTTTGGTGACTCACTTTATCAACTATTTTAATTTTTTGGACAATTAGGAAAAGAAAAAGAAAAAGATAAAGAAATCGTTAAATTATCATTATTGATAATAAATATGATCTTAAGTTTATAGGAATTTTAAATAAATCATTAATATTTACGGTATTAATTATCATTTGACTAAATAAATTTAATGCCGATTTTTAAAATAATAATTATTACGTTATTTATTATCTTTTTTTGGTAGGACGTTATTTATTATCTTAATTATTAAATAATATTTATTAAGATTTTAATTTCCAAATGTTTAGATTATTCGGGTGAAAGGGGGAAAAATCAATTGTCAAACTGATATTATTCACAATAAATTTGATATTTTAAAAGAAAAAATTATTTTCAGATAAATGAGAATTATTTACGGTTAATTCTTATTTAACTCAATAAATTCAATACTAATTTCTAAAAAAAAATTCCACCTTATAATTTTAATTATTAGATGTTAATTATTATTTATAAAGCTAGTTAATATTTAGAGGGAAAAGAGTGAAAGAGATGGTTGAATTTGGAACAGAAAACCACGGTTGATTCCTACGGTGTTATCACATGACACCCTTTTCTCACTGGTAAGGCAAAGAAACTAATTTGAGTTAAATTGGTAAATAGTTTCGACAAAAAGTTATTCTAACCATTTTTCTTAAAAAGAGGTTCAATGATAAAAAAAATCGAGTATTGATTTGTTTATGATTTTAATATTGTTTTAAGATTATATTATTATTTTTTTAAATTCCAAAAATATATCCCAAATCTTAACATTCAACATTACTTTTGTTTCATATTTAACGGGTCATAAATTAGATTCATATCATATTTTTTAAATCAACCCATAATTTGCTTTTGCTCAAGTCCTCCTGTTCGGAATGCATTCAACTCCAGCTATAGGCAATGTGTATTTTAAACTAGAAAACGTACACTTCAACATTTTCAGCCCCACTTTAACTACTTTTTAATATCATATTTGGTATATGGTACACATTTAATGGCACAAAATAATAGAAATTTAGAACTCGTAGATCACTTAAAAATTTCTCTAGGCTGTATTGGCATTTAAAATGTGGTCCCACCAAATAATAAATTTCTTAAGTTTGGATCAGCTTAACTTTTAGAGAAGATATATATATATTTTTTCCAAAACTCTGTGAAAATTGGCATTATTAGGTATTTGTCACAAATATATCTAAGCTGTTTGACTAGGGGAGTGAAAAAGGAGAAAACAACATCGTTTCAAAATAGTAAGGTTGAAAAGTACTACGTAGAATATTATTGTGTAAACATATAAATGGAACCATAGTCCAGAAGCATTAGCAGGCTGCGCAAGCCATTTCAATATGGCAATAATAAACCATAACGAAATCAACAAGAAGATCACATCTTATTAGTTTTCTATTACAACAGAGAAGGAAAAAATAGATACTGTTCTATCTACAAGTTGTCTCTTCGTTGAATATACAAGATTGAAAAAGATAAACAGAAGCAATCAACAAATCACACACACATGCAGGTCTGCTGATCCATTATCTACAGTGGTTTGAATTTCAGTCACGTTCATATGCACAAATTGAAAGCAATAAAATGAATAAATAAGATGACTTCTAATATTGACTTTATGGACTGTATAACCAATTGAAAATCAATTTGACTCTGCTCAACTCAAGTTATACAAAAGGACTTGGTACTTAAAAATGTGCTTTGTCTTAGCAAACCATTGTTGAGGAATCATAGCACTCCTTCTTGAACCACTGTCTTTTCTGTGGCTGCTGGATATGACAATCTCCTAGCTTTTGTAGTCCCTTTTGCATTACCAAAAGGAGGAGACCCTTTTGCATTGGCCGAAGGAGGTTTAACTGAAATAGGAGTTTTAGGTGTTAAAGTGCTCTTATCCTTCTGAACCTTGTTAGACTGCATATTTTGAGCTTTCTTGGGGTTAATGGATATGCTTGAGACACGGCTTTCCCATGGGCGAGCAGCAATCCAGCGTTCCTTCCAGCTCCAACCCCAATTAGCTTTGCTAACTTCATAATTACCTAGCACTTGGCTCTGACTAGAGTTGGCCCTCCACTATGATTCATAAGATATGCATTTAATTTTCAGTTGGATGAGGTAAAGGGAGATAAGAAAATGAGACATTCCCTAAGATTAACCTACCTGATGAGAAAAGGCATATGCCATAGCTCTTTCCCGCTTCACTGCTGCTTCTTCTCTCTGATGTATCTTTCCCAGGACTTCCTCCATGGTTTCAAAACCACCAGACCATTCAACCTGCAATTTGTGCTATCTAGAACTTAGAACAAGATTAACTGAATTGAGTTCAACCAATTTCATGTATCTAGTGAAATAATTCGATCACTATTAACTATTCAATGATAAGAGATTTCAAGCACTACAATCTGGAATTGATCTTTATCTAAGTTGGAGCACTACTCTAAGAGGACGTGTTTGAATCTAGGATACAGTAGGGCACACTAAAGGTTACCTCCAGATCGTGAAGCTTTGCCTCAAGTTTTAGTTGAGACTCTAGTTTCTTCCGCCTGATCTTGTCTTCTGTCACCATACAGATTCGGCGAGCTCTAATCTCAGCCTGTATCTTGCTCCATGAATGTAGATATGTTATAGCTGTACCGGCTTGCTTTTTAACAGAGTAACCTTGAGTTAGGATCTTCAGTTTTGTGAACCCTTTCAAGCGACGTAGAGCTTTTCTAGCCTGGAAGGTTTAAAAGTCAGCATTGCAAAATAAACGTCAGCAGAAGATATTAATTGAGGTTTGAAATATCGCAAATAACACAAGCCTATATCTACATCTCTCAGATATAATCATAAACGGCATGCACATTAAGAAAATAATCAAGAGTCAGCACATAAAACCCACTGAAAGAAGTTGCAGTGTGTGATATTTCTCTAACTTCAAAGCAGCAAATTTGCCAATTCTTTTAGTAGGGATTAAATCAAATCCTTGACAAGCAGAAATGAGGTTGCATTTAAGAGAGTAGTACAAGATTTACCAATCCGTGCTTATTTTGAAGAATAATATAGCAGCCAATGACAGTAAATGAGCAAGGCAAAGATGTCTAGATAGAGAGCTAAAGCATCACTTTTCGCTCATAAACAAGAGCAGAATCCAGAAACCCACTTTGATCATAAGAATATCAAGAAAAATCTCCATATTAGAGCTCCTAATCCAGTGAGCATATGAGTTTAGTTAAATGGTGAAAAAATGTATCGATTGCACTTTGCCATGCTAATTTATTTGCCCAATTACACATTAGCACTTAATTTATAAGATTAAGCACACTCCACATTGATTTAATGACATTTTGCAATGTCCTTCCCATCATCCAATATTGTAGATATATCTTGAGTGACACAAAGCAAATATAGCAAAAATACTGCAATTTAGTTTCATAGTATTATGAAAACTTGGCAATCATATATTCCTGTAAAATGCAATCTGAAAGCTGGCATACAAGCAGTAATAGGACAACATCAAATAGACATTCACAGTGGAATAATGAAATATAGAAACAGAAGCATGATTGCTAAGGATGTGCTCAACAATCAATAGAGTCAGATTAGAGTTAGCCAGTATTTTAAGAACTTGTCTCTGCAAAATTTTCAACTCAAAGTACCTTATAAGCCCGAAATGCAGTCTGGATCCTTGTTGCAGCAATAGTTTCAACTGACACAAGATTTTCACTTCTAAAACCATTTGCTAAACCACTAGACTCTTTTCCTGTATAATTGTTTGACTTCAATGCACTTAGTTTCTCCGGAGTCAAGGTACCCTGTCTCAAAGTGTGGCCAGATATGGAGATAGAAACATTCCAGTCACAATGGTCCTCAAGCAAAATAAACTCTAATACTTGGTAATAAATGAATAAATGGTATTACTGAAGCTTAAATGATAAGCAAACTAATTAAGTGGTTGTTATAAACAATATATACTGTGGCTCATATGCAACATCATGCATAACTCAGATTAAAGTTTACCTCCTATCATTCCTGTTTGATGTAGTTATAATAGAGCGTACCAGTATACCACATGATTAAGATAAATAGCCACCCAAATTCAAAACTATTTTGGTTGTTCAGGAAATAATGGAGATATAGAGGTTTACAATCATCAGTTTGACACTCATGCAACTTAACCCCGGAAAGGATTAGATAAATAAACTAAAAATGACAGGAAGTGCGCTGTACCTTTGCTTTCTTTGATCTGCCATCTTTTGACCTTCTTAACCTAATTATTGTCTTAAACCAATCACCTGAACCCATTCTTGATGTGAAGTGACTTCTTTCAGATTAACATAGTCCTGTGAATATTTTTAATAATACAGCAATTAACAGATCACTCCATAAATACAGTCATAAAGACTCAGCATAATCATAAGAGATCTGTACAAAACAAACAAATAAGAAAAGAAGAGGAAAATAGTTTTGAAGTTCCTGTCCCCATTGTTAGTCTTTTTCTTTACTCAAATAATTAAACGAAAGGCTGAGACCTGCTTCTTCAAACATTAATCTCTCTGTAGGAATACATGCTTTTAAGAGTTTGATAGAGAAATTCTCATGAGTAAGTTGTTAGTAACTAAGTCCAATGTATATTATTTGCAATTTGTAAAGCTCCGCAGCCATGAAACATTAAGTTACAAATATATAATAGGCTTGACCCTATCAACAATCACATTATGAATCAGCCTGGCTCACAGTTTGTAAGACTAGACAAATAGTGCAGAAAATAGCACAAATTGAAGCTAAGCTATGCTGTTAAGAGTTTATACCAAAAAAACAACTCATTTTTTCTTGCCAACAACGGCAAGTCAGCAGAAATTTATAAGAGAAATTAAAACAATCACACAGCACTGCCTTCCACATCAAACTAAAACTGTGATCTACCAAACAGAACATAAAAAAGCATGGATCAACAACTCATCTGCCGAAAAAACAAAGAATGAATATGCTTAATTGCTAAGAAAGTAGGAAGCAGACCAAAATATGCAAAGTTCCATGTAGTTCTCACATACTATCCGAAAATCAACAGGCAAATGTTTTTCCCAGAATCACTTAAGAAGAAACCAAAAAAAAAAAAAAAAAATTGCATCTGGGTTGAGAATTGCATACCAGAGAAGGTTCAAAGGAGGGCCCTTTTTCCTGTGAACTAGACAAACAAGATTGGAGATAGAAAAAGGAAGGTGGGAAAATAATATCAGTGTAGAAGTAAAGAGGAAGAAAGGAAGAAATGAAATAGTCAGCAAAAGAATAAAAGGTTGGTGTGGAATGTTGATTGCCATGGCCCAATACCAGCTTTGATTCTCAACTATATAATTTAGAAGTTGACAGAAAAATAAAATCGAAGTCCAAAAATGAAATAAAATAAGAGAAACTTTATCAATGTGAAAGAAAATCAACTAATAGATGGGGTCAGTGTAGTGTAATATGGCACGCTTTGTTGGATTTTTGGAGAATTCAGCAACGGAGGCTACAATGACAGCAGAACAAATGCTATCAATTTTTTGATGGTGACGGGTTGCTTTCCCCTGGCTACATTTTATAATAAAATTATTATTTTCTCATAAAAATAACGTTGCAAAAATAAAATACAAACTTCTCGGTATAGTATAGTTTCCAGTTGGGGGAATATATATACATTTGCATTTGAGAGGGGGGATTTTATTTTATTTTTCATAATGTTCTCGATTATTGGATGAGAATATGACCTGACGACAAAAAACAAAAAGAGGATCCTTTGACTATTAGCTGTGATGACGAGGCTAAGGTTTGTGGTGGGATCATCTGGTACAGGCAACTCTATTAGTTCCCTAAATTAAGGTTTCGACGTGGAGGGTTGTCGGCCGTTCGTGACCAAAATTTTGGTAAAACTCTAAAAGTATTAGAAATTATTTAAGTTGGTCCCGGCGAGGCTCGAACTCGCGACCTTCGGCTCATAAGACCAACGCTCTAACCAACTGAGCTACGGGACCATAACACAAACGAAATTTTTTAACACAATTTTCTACCTTATTCAATAGCGTTCAAACGTCATGTCATTGTTAGACTTAGGAGTTAGGACTAACTATAAAATCCACGAAATGGCTTGCAGCATTAAATTATTAATTGATGCGCATTAAAATAGTGAGAAATACAGACAATAAGGTCTATATTTTATTAATACTTTATTTATACATACTTTTATCTATTCAATAAAAAATAATATAAGTGTTCAATTTTAATAAAAAAATAAAATTTATATTCTGTTTTAATAAAGTGAAAAATATATAACTGTATTATTATCTCCACCCATTATTATTAATTTTTAATTTTTTTCTGGTTAATTTTTAATTATTTAATTTATATCAAACTCAATGATATTTCATTCATGTAATTTTATTATATGGATAAAAAATTCGAAAGTATAAAATATAAAATATAAAAATAAAAAATTCTTTAAAAATAGTTATGCATAATTATAATATATTATTTAACAAATTGATTTGTGGTGATAAAAAAAGAAAAAGCTACATTATCCGCACACTTAAACTTTTGTAAATAATCAACTTATGTATATAAAAAAAATCAACTTAAACTTTAAAGTATTTTCAGTTAATCTTTAAATTTTAACTCAAATATGGATAAAGGGTCGGTTATATTAAAAAAAGAAATCAGTTATAATTACCATCATTTTATGTTATCACTCTTGTCATTTAGTTTTCGTTGGATTAATTTGAGATCAACGATAATTATTTTTTTCTGTTTTAAATGTTGATCTCAAATTAATCCGACAATAACTAATCAAATAGTGATAAGTCTAAAATGATCATAAATATAATATTCTCGTGGATAAATCATTATGTTAAAATATTGTTAATTTATTAATGGTGAATTCGTCACTTTATATTACATATATCAACGTATCCAAAACCACTCAATTCCAACAAATTGTATTTTTATTTTATTTTGATAAATTATTTTATAAAAATATTATTTTGGTAAAAAAAATTGAGAATATAACTGAATAAGAACCCGTGATCTAATTATATAGTGCACTTAATCAGACGTGTTATTCATACATTGTATTAAAATCTTACTGGTTGTATGAAAATAACCGAGTCAGATTGTTCTTATGGGTTTAATTCTTTTTTTTTAAAAAAGAGTTACAACTTTTGGAGAGTTACTCTTTTAAGTATTATTACTACAATAGATATATTTAATGCAAAATATATTTCTCATATTGAATGAGATAAAAAAAATTTCTTCCTTTTAATGGATTTTCCCCACATTTTTATGTGTTACATGAAAAACATATTTATCATAACCTAGCACAAACTATATTCTTAAATAGATGACTTCATTTAGTATTTCCTCTTCATTTTGGACTTTTACAAATAATTTCAAGAATGAATACCTTTTTGCTTCCTCACTAAAAAAAATACGGAACTCTGATGAAGTACCGTAATCCTTGAACTCGTACCCGAACTCTGGATTAGTTTCATAGGCGGTTCAAAGAGTCGAATCCGTGGGAATACCGAGAGTTCTGATTCGCCTCTTTGATAATTAGGATCAGTTACCAAAAAAAAAATACGAAACTCGTTTTAATTCTTTATAAAAAAAAATATCTATATTAATCATTTTTTAGAAACTAACATGAATCTCCTATGAATTTTAAAAAGACCACAATTTCAAAGAATTAGAATTTCAAAAAAATCACAAATTAATTTTTTTTTAAGAAATTAAAATAAATTTTATATTTTTTATTGAGGACCCAGTATTTATTCTAAATTCAATATCGTAAACTTGCAAATAGAAGGAAAGTAGCGCTTAGGATCCCTCACTTTCACTTTCAGTTTATTTATTAGTTGTCATTTCATACGAGCTCTATTTAGGTTCCCTAACCCTTCAGCAGCGTGAACTTAGAAATTGAGCAAAAATCACATTCACCAAAACACATACCAACTTTTCGTTCTGGGTGGCGATGGGACCATGAGGGGTCAACTTCAAACGCAAAAGTAATGAAATGATGTTAATATCTTCCATCTTTTTCCTTCCCTTAACCAACGTAGTCCTTTCAAGCTTCAACACGAACTTCTAAAGAAGGCTACCTCATATGCATCTTGGATTTTGAATTTTTTATGCTTTTTATTACATTAAGTGGCCCTATAAATAGACGTGACGTTTGACTCTTCTCTTACAACTTTTATTTACCAAACTGATTTTTCTCATATTTGTCTAATTTTGTAAGAGTTATGTTGTAAGAAAAATGATTATGTAATGTTATAAAGATTTGTTTTACGTGCTTTAGTTTTTTTTTTTTTGCTTCAAAAAGTGCGGGCCCCCCAAAATGTTGTGGGTAAAATTTTTTTTGTGTCATGTGACATAATAGATGCAAATCCTTTTGTCTAAACCAACAATAAAAATGCTTAAGAGCTATTCATTTTGAATTTTATATACAAAATATATAAATATTATTTCTCATATTTCATGAGATAAAACACACAAAAAGTACATGGGATCAATTTGTTTTCTTTCTTTCTCTTTTTTCTTATTGGATCACATTTTTTGAATATTGCATGAAATAAATTTTCTCATTCAATAAACCATTTCCATTTATTCAATTCCTTGTACTAATAGATCCACTAACTTGGTGTTTAACAAAAAAATAAATTAAAAATCCACTAACTTGGCTCTTCATAAGTTTGCTTATTATGCTTTGAACCCTTTTTTCTTGTTGATCGTTTTACCGTTCTACCTCAAGAAACTGATGTTTTTCAAAGAAAATTTCTGACAAATGTTCTGATGGATTCTCCCTTAAGATCTGGTCATTTTATGCCTCTTTTTTTGGTAAGCAGGTCATTTTAATAACATTAGAGTAAGTGGTCAATTGGAAATAAATAATTTCTTATGCCTTTTTCGACCAATATATTTATTTTAATTAGTTTAAGAAATTAAAATATTTCAAAAACATTTTCGTCAATGAGAGCCGTTGCAAAATATTTTAAGAAAATTATTTTTGACATAACATGATAGGTTTTTAGTATTGTTAAAGTAATTAATTTTTGAATTAAATCCTTTTTAGAAAACTTATTATAAATTGCTCGAATAGTAATGAAGATTATTTTAGGAAGAGCAATGCTACATAGTAAGAAAAACTAACAAACTTCAGTCAAAATTTATAAAAGATTTAAGGGTGATTGTTTTAATAGAAACTACTCATTCTTTAAAAAAATCAGTAACTCGATAACAATGCTAACTCAACAAAATATTTATGGCTGCTCAGTGTTTTTATAAAATATATAAAAAAATTGTACCTGTCATTTAAATAATAATAATTTCAACATTTGAAATTTGAACTTATTTCACAATATCTTCAATTTTCTAATAAATCTTGACGCCATTAAAAAAAAAATGTTCTTTAAATGTTCACGGGATAGAGTATGTTAATTTTATTATAATCGATCAATTAGATTAGTCAAAAATCATTTAATAACTTGCTACAATCCAACAAAAATTCTTTTAACTTTTGATAAAAATATGACCTTTAATTTTTTTAGAAACATAAATTTGTCAGAAATTGTCCACTTTTGGAATTGTCTTTTCTGATTCTATTAAATATGAAATTCTTTTTATCCAAGTAAAGAAAATAACAGTGTTAATAAAATCTGATCGATCCGGGAACCGATAAATCGGTAATATAACTGATCAAGTTGAAGCAATGGACCTATCATGCATCAGAATCGGTGCGACCTGGCCGATTTTCATGAAAATCGATAACCCGGTCAATTAACCGGTGACCCGGCCCGGTCCAACAAAAAAAAAATTCCAAATTTGTTTTTTTTTTCAAAAAAAAATTATAATGGACATATTTGAATATTTTTTTGCTATTGACTTACATAAGTTATGTACCTACAACACTAATATTATCACAATTAAGCAATACAAATTTTTTTGATTTGATTTATAGTTAAAAATATCGTTTTCTGAACCTAAAGCCTCGTATCACAATTATTATATTTTAGTTTGATTCTTTATTAGATAATATTATGTGATTTATTATTTTTTATATTAAAATATTTGAAATTTTTATCAATTTTTTTAGATATTTGTGTATGTTTATAATTTTTTAATATAAATTATAAAATTACATATAATTACTGAGTTATGCGATTGAACCAATGACCCACTGGTTGAACCAGTGACCCAGTGATCCAGTACCTCGACCGGATCAATGACTGGGCCAATTTTAATAACATTGGAAAAT